ATGATTTTGTTTTGTTTTGTTTTGTTTTGTGACAGAGTCTCTTTCTGTTGCCTAGGCTGGAGGGCAGTGGTGCGATCTGCAACCACTCTCTCCCAGGTTCGAGCAATTCTTGTGCCTCAGCCTCCCAAATAGCTCGGATTACAGGTGCATGCCACCACACCCAGCTTATTTTTGTATTTTTAGCTACCGTGCCCGGCCCAGTATAATCTTATGGGAGCACTGTGGTATATTTGGTCTGTTGTTGACCTCAAAGTTATGTAGCACATGACTGTATCTAAAAACAAAACAAAACAAAAATTAAAATAGAAAAGCTGGATTCCCACCAAATGAATGAACCTTCTTACTCATGATTCTGGAAGGAAGGCAGGTTCTACTAAGGCAAGGTTCTTAGGCTACTACCACTTCCTCACCCCTAGAGGATCAGCCTTCTTAACCCAGCCAGTCACAAGGGATTCTGAGGATGAATGTTCACCAGGGCAGGTTGGTTATGTTCAACAGCTTCATGTATTTCTGCAAAATCTACCAGTCTGATGATGCAGTGAACGTAATGATTCCCCTGTGAAATAATAAATAACAAGATAAAATGTCCCAGGCCCATTTATTTCCCACTCCTACCACCCCCTAAGACTGAACTATAGGTTGAAGTGAACACTTGAACCGAAGGTCACTGTATTGTATGTTCCTGTTCAGACAGGACTTCACAAAGACTTTCTTTTATAAAGAAAACAACCAAGGCCGGGCGCGGTGGCTCAAGCCTGTAATCCCAGCACTTTGGGAGGCCGAGACGGGTGGATCACGACGTCAGGAGATCGAGACCATCCTGGCTAACACGGTGAAACCCCGTCTCTACTAAAAAATACAAAAAACTAGCCAGGCGAGGTGGCGGGCGCCTGTAGTCCCAGCTACTCGGGAGGCTGAGGCAGGAGAATGGCGTGAACCCGGGAGGCGGAGCTTGCAGTGAGCTGAGATCCGGCCACTGCACTGCAGCCTGGGTGACAGAGCGAGACTCCGTCTCAAAAAAAAAAAAAAAGAAAACAACCAGCCAATAAAACAGCATTAGAGTACATTATATATGTGACCAATCATTTTATAAAATCTGATGTAAGCCTTCAGGCGTAATTGGAGTTCTTAGCAAAATACTTTGGTTTTTAGTATTTCTATGACCCTCTAAGGGGGGCTTAGCAATTACTCTTAAATTTTCAAAGTGGTGCATGGAGTTTTAGCTGTGTGACTTCCATTAAAGTCCATAGGAGTCTTGTTGCTAAAACATCACACAACTCACGAAAATGTGGTCCTTCTTGTGAAATTGTTAGAAGTAATGGGTATGGAAGTATAGCGCAGCATTTCTGGTACATTTACAAGCTTTCCATACTTGTTTCAAACTTTACACTTTTATGAAAACTCAACAGTTATACAAAAATTGAAGGAGGGGAAAAGCCTATTATGTGTATTCCAAAAGTGAAGGATGGAAAAAAATACAGTAGAACTAATAAAAAATTAAAATAATTTTTCAAGAAAAGACAATGTTTAAACATATTTATAATCTTTATTTCAGAAGTTATATATCCGCTCCCGGATTTTTAAAGTAAGCTTAAAATCTAACTTAAAAAAAACAAACTTGAATGACAAAGTTTCACTATAATTACATACAATGATTTTGGGTTTCAGCAACCTCCTCTACTGAAACCGATATAATTTAAGCATCATCTGAGCAAAACTTCACTCCTTTAGATGGTGGTGGTGTGAGGGGTTTATTCCCAGTGGATAAGAGGATGGCCTTAAGGTTTGCTGACTCCTTCTCTGTCAAGAACCTCTTAGAGGCCAGGCATGGTGGCTCACGCCTGTAATCCTAGCACTTTGGGAGGCCGAGGTGGGCGGATCACTTGAAGTCAGGAGTTCGAGACCAGCCTGGCCAACAGGGTGAAACCCCACTTCTACTAAAAATACAAAAATTAGCTGGGTTTGGTAGTGTGCGCCTGTAATCCCTGTTACTTGGGTGGCTGAGGAACGAGAATCGCTTGAACCCAGGAGGCAGAGATTGCAGTGAGCGGAGATAGAGCCATTGCACTCCAGCCTGGGTGACAGAACAAGACCCTGTTTCAAAAAAAGATAAAGAATCTTGCAGACATTTTTCTCCTGCATCCCTGTGATAAGAATGCTGTGATTCCTGCTATACAGTCAAACAGATTCAGAGCCCACCTTTGACTCCAGGACCAAATTTCCCCCTTTATTCTCTTTTGTGCTATGCTGGAGAAGACAGTGTGGCAGTTCTCAGGAATTTGTGTGGAGCTGTTTCAGGGACACTCTGAGCTAAGAAAAGGGTGAGAGCCCTGGGAGGAGACCTTCTTTCAATCCAGGCTACATGCTCTGAGTTCTTCCAGAGCATATATAGCTGCTCCATTCCAAACTGTGCTCCCAGATTACATAGGCCTGACTCGCAGGAGCCGGCAGCTCCTAGTGCTCAGCTCACGGGCTCAGCCCAGCATCAGCACCACCTCCCCTCTGAGCATCTGGTGGCCTTGCTGGTAACACAGTGACGCAGCCATTTCCTCCTAGAGGAGAAACATCTTTGGAGTTCTGTTTCCACAGTCCTTTTGGGGGACACTCTAGGCCAGGAGCTGGCCTCAGACATAAAAGTATTTGTTGAGAGAGAGAGAGAGAGAGAGAGAGAGACAGACTGACTCTGTGACTGCTTTTTGAGTTAATTGTTGTTGGCTCAGTTTCAGTGGTGCAATGTTTTGCTGTGGATTCATTTACTAAGCAGTACTAAAGTGTCATTTATATGCATTATTGAATCTTGGGATGATTCTGTAAGCATTACTTTCTCCTGAAATCTCCACTTCTGTCTGGATAGTGGATTTTGGGATAGGTTTTTAAAATGGAAAACTTGACGACAATCAAATTTTCAACATAGCATTGAACGAATAGCATCAGTTGGGGACGAGCTATGCCACCAATTTAAAGTGTCCCAGCTGGGGTCAGAATTAGGAACTGTCTAAATAGGGAATTTCAGAAGGTCAGGGGAGGATATCAAGGCAAATGGGAGGAAATAAGCCATTGTTCCTTTAGAAAGCTTAGTAACCTCCATAATGAGAGGCTATGAAATAGTTCTTTTTATAACTGTAACTTCTTAACTTCCCAGCCCTAATAGCTCCAAGGGTCACTTGCAGAGAGCCCTGGGGCTACACCTGCCTTGCATAGATTAGGGCCCGCTGCAGCTGTCTTCATTTGCAAGACTAAGGTGTAGCTCCAAGAGGCTGTGGGTCTCAGCATGGAGCACTCCTTCCTCCTCAATCTCAATAGGCTGGTGTTGCGGATTAAGATGGCCTTTGCAAGCCAGGCTCAGAAATTGCAAGATGAGGCAGGTAACAATTTCCTGGGTTTTATGTATCAGACCTTGTGAGGTATGAAGCGGGAAACCTTTTATATGCCTGCCTTGAATTAGCCATACCTTTTACAGTCAACTCTGCTGAAGAGCAGCTGCCTGAACTATCTAGCGTACCCATGGGCCAGGCATGCCTTTGGCACACACACAGGTTTGTAAAGAGCTTGTGAATCTATAGGATGATCTCTTGGTGAGGACAGAAGGGACCCATAGCTAGTCAGCATCGGACCGAGGGCTGGATCCGCTTTTTCCTGTAATGTGCGTTTGTTTCACAGAAAATACAATTAGGATAATTCTTGTGTGTTCTCTACAGGAAGGAAGTAGTATACTGCTTGTGAATGGTAGGCTAAATGAGGGAACCATTAAAGGGTTTTTAATAGACTTTTGAACCAAAAGACATAAGGGACTATACTTACGTTGCCTTAATTGAGAAATGTTTTGCAGTGTGAGGAGACTTAATCAAATCTTCATTACATACCTGGTCAGGGACCAGGCTGAATGTTTCTTTAAGCAATTGGATAAAATGCACATTGAAGACTTGTTAGTTATGTGAGAATATGTCTGACATGCTTATCATCTCTCCTACGGGTGCCTGAGTATCAGATACTTGGTTTACTGTGTTGGGTTGAATGCTTCTGTTCTAATTTCTAATGAACTTTACCACCAGACTACTTGATCATGACTAAGCCCAGGAACAATGCAAATGGAATTGCCCCCTGATGGGGAGGAATGGGCCCAGATGGCCCTTAAAAGGTGATAATTAGGAAATATAGCATATCTGAGTAGCTAGAAAGAGAGAAACTTGTTAAAGACAGTCAATCTGTTTGAAGCAATGGTCTTTCCCTTAATTATATGCATTTTCATTTAGAGTTGCTTTAAAGTAAAATTTTCCCAGGAAAAATTTTTATTAGTAGTGAAAACCTAGAAACCACACACATTTTTTTGCTACTCTGTTTCAGATTATTGAAAATTCCTTCCTTCATACATTTTTTTGGTTTCCAGATCTGTGTAACAGACTTGCTGTGTGTGTTTTAGGGGGCCGTTTTAGGTTATTTTAGCTCTTATGCTAAAACAGTGGGGGAGTGATTAAATGTGAGAAAAATATTAGTATATATTTGTAAACTGAGCTTTTAAAATTAAAATAGTTGCAGGATATTACAGTCTGTGATTTCATATACTTTGTAAGATTGCCTTAAATGTATTGCCTTCTTGGCCAGCGTAATGCCAGATTTTTCTCCAATATGTCATTAAAATAATTTTACATATAACAAGTTGAACTTTTTAAAGATTTATATTTTAATCTGAATTAGCATATTTACTAATTATATTACTTATTTGGCTTTTCTTTAGTCCAATTCTTTTTTTTTTTTAGTGTACAAACTTGGCATTACTCTTTAAGAATAGCAAGTGAACTGGAAATGAGAAGGTGGTGACATGAAGAAAGAGAGAAGAAATACGTTCCTTCCATCTCCTCCAGCTCCTGCATGGAACGGAGGATCTGACAGTGGCCATTCCTGGGAATTAAAGCCAGTGCAAAAGCTAAAGTGGCCAAAAGACAACTTCTTCCTTATTTGTGAAGTCAGAAAGTAAAATTACATTGAAGGAAGTGCTAGGCTACATTATTCTGAATATTTTGGCAGTCATATCATATTTGGGCAGATGAGTTGCTTTCCTGAAATTACTCAGCACCATCATTCATCCTGACAAAAGTCAGTGGTACAGATGCACCTTTGGGACTGAGGCCAAGGTGAAACCTGCATTTTCCAGGTCTGCCCCCTCAGGTTTGGAAGGACTTTCCATAAAATTGCCCTCACACCCCAAGCATCACCCCTCCCGTCCTTAGTAAGTACACTCTGACTGGAATCTGGGGGTCCTTAGGAAGTACACTCTGACTGGAATCTGGGGTCCCAGCACCTTCATATAAATTCATCAGGTATCTTATCCACTCAAAAATCTCTTATAGAATCTTTGACATTTTAAGCCTCATTACTGCAAAGCGGATATAGTTCATTCTCAGCTTCAGGATTCCAGAAGCATACATACCAGGTCAGAATGGAGAGGCGTCACACTTTCCTTCAGCAAGCTTCAGGGGAGACAGGATTTAGGGTGGGCTGCGTATATATCAGTTACAGGATGTTTTGAACTATATTCTTGCAATCACTGACAGGTCGTCCCAAAGAAAATAATCTGGCTTTAACTTCTCGTTATCGGTGAAAAGCAAAAATTACTTAGTGCAGGCATGCTTAAAGGAAGAAAAAGGCAAGAGAAAAGTGAGAGGTAAAAATTACTACCATTTTAATTTCATGATTCTCAGCAATGAAGGAGCATGATTGAAATCCCATGTGCCCAATCATATCTGTAAATGAGAGTATGGTTTTTGAAGACTGTATTCAATTGTTTCAACTTGAGCAATTGCAAGTAAGACCTAGGACTGTGTTTTGCCAGTTACTGTTATTTACTATTACTTTCTAAATGTGACCTGGCTTGAAACCTTTATAGATGCAATTTTTATCCATCACAGAACATGCTGTAAAGAGAAGAGCAGCTTCAACTTTTTCAAGTATTTTTTTTTTAAAAAAGGATTTAACTTTGACCAACACCAACTTGCACCTTGTTAAGGTAACTAATAACTGATTGCTATGACAGTATTTAGAATTTTGTTTAACAGCAACTGTAAAAAACCAAGTTGAAATAGCCCAGGAGATAGATGGCGATTAACTCTGCATTCTTTTTAGACTTTTATTAATTAGCTCTCTAGACTCAAATAGGTTACATCCTCTGAGCAGTAAATTGCATGCCATTTGCAAGCTCTGTGGATGAAATTTGCATGTGGCCTAAATGCTATCCACATTGTTGTGTTAAGTAGCATTTTATCTCTCTGGACTGGTCCCCTGCCTCCTCCCCCAGCCCCAGTGGAAAGTTTTATCCACTCTTCTTGTGGGAAGGGAAGGTTGCGTGTAGTTTGGTCATTTGGCGCCATCTTCTTTTTTATTGTTAAATCCACTAAAGCCAGTCATGCCTGGTAGTACCAGGCCGGCTCCTTCCGGGGTTCTGGTCGGCGAAGCTTTCAGAGTTCTTTGCTGATTATTTACTATAAATGTTTTCAGCTTCTGTCTTTGCTTTAAGATCTGATTAAAAGAAACCTTAAAAAAAGAAGGTAGATTTTGGTTATGTTTTTCTCTTCCCTGTGTCCCCCCAACCCCAATCACCAACTTCCCCCATCCCCAGCAACATGGGCATTTTGTGTATTTGTTTAAAAGTATTTTAGGAAGCACCGTAATACTGCACAGCTTGGAGGTTAAGATAGAATTGGATGCTTCCCTCACCATCAGTTGATGGAATCATCAGTGTTCCGGTTCTATTTATCTTCACGATTTGAGAATGTTTCTGAACAGCTGCCCTTCCGAGGATGCTGGTATTTAGACAGACCTTCCTGTCATTTATCTGACTCACAGGCACAACTCTTTTGAAAGAATTAATATCAAACTTACATATGAAAATCTACCATGTAGAAATGGATTCTTTTCAATACCTACTTTTCAATTCAACCAGGAGATCCCATCTATTTTTAAAAATCATTAATCACATACTTCTGACATTTTCCCTTTCAGTTTCCTCAGGGGGAAAGAGTTATTTGAATAACAAACAAACAAACAAAAACCCCTCATCGCAAATAGCTGTCAGCCTCCTATGTGAACAAAAGCGCTCTCTCACAAGGAGACCTACCGTGTTTTGTTTAGTTAGAGGCAGCAGGGTGGTAGGGACACTATGCAGAAAGGCTTGGGTTAATGAGCACTTTCTGGATTGAGTGTCTCTCCTGATTAACTCTTGGATTACTTGCTTTGAGTTGCTAACCCTCTCTCACTGCCCACTCAAGAATTTCCCACATGGTAGCCTCCTCCATAGATGCCCCTCCCTAGATGCACTGATGGTAGACAGCATAAAAATGTGTAAGCACTGTGGCTTTCCAATGAACTGAAAGCAAAAAGCTTAAGCATTACTTTTTATTTCCTTGATCTAAAGAACATGTTTTGGGGATATTTTCTTAATGAAGATCTAAGTTGATCTAGAGTTATAAATAAATTCTATAAATAAATTAGTTACGAACTAATTTTTAGATCCAAGTCTTTTGTTCAAACTGACTCTTACATAGAAACTCTAAAACTTTAGGGGGGAAAGGGACAGTTGGGGATCAAATTCACTCCCCCTCACCTCTCTCTTGGTGCTCCCCAAAGGATCTTCAGGGACCGAAGTTTAAAAACCATTTTGTATAACGAAATGGGACCCGAAAGACATTCTTTCTAGTGACTTTGTGTTAGATTGAGCCATATGAAATGCCACTATATGACCCATTTTGACCTAAAAAACAAAAAAAAAACCAGCACTAGAATACCAGAATATTTTTAGTGTAATCACTGTACCTGATAAGAAAATGGAGAAATGAGAAGGCTTGAAATTTAGACTATATGCTCCTCATAAGCAAATAGTGACTTCCTCCTTTCTTCCACAGTCACCTGGCAAGTCCCTTCTATGTGCTGCTGGTTCTAGAGATACAGAGAAAAAAGGCATAGTCACTGCCTCCAAATCATTCACAGTGCAAAGGACAAATAAATACAGAGGGACCCATGGTATGATGAAACAGTCCAGGGTGGTAGGAACACAGAGCGAGGGTTTCTAGGATCCTGAAAGCCACGTTGCATGGAGCTCCGAGTCCCTGAGTTTTCAGACTGCTCTTTCTGTGGATTGTGCCTAAGTAATAACACTTTCAGAACATAGAAACTCAGTGTCCATCCTTCATAGCCAGGATGGATATGATAGTCTGGAAGTCAACAGTAAACCCAGTGACTTGTTTTCTTCGCTTATTCTTTCATTTTAAGAAAGTGCTTAGAATCCACAAGTTGTGCTTAATGCCAGCAGAGGCATTACGTGTGCCAGCCCTGCCCTTAGGCACAGTTGCTCCCCACGCTAACCTCCCGTTGCATTTAAAAATCATCACTTTATTGAGACATAATCCAACTCTCATGAAGTTCACATTTTTAAAGGACACACCTCAGTGGTTTTCAGTCTGTTCACAAAGTTGTACAATGATCATCACTATCTAATTCCAGAACATTTTCCTTACCCTAAAAGCAACCCCATACCCATTGGGGTTCACTCCCTATGCACCCCTCTTCCTTTCTCCTGACAACCACTAATCTACTTTTTGAATCTATACATTTGTCTGTTTGGGACATTTCCTATAAATGGTACTACATAAATATGCCCTTTTATCTCTGGCTTCCTTCACTCTGCATAATGTTTTCAAGGTTTGTCCATTTTGTACCATGTATTAGTACTTCATTTTTCTGGCCCAGTAGTGTTCAATTGTAGGAATATACCCCATTATCCATTCCAATGATGGATATTTTGGGGGGGATATCCACTTTTTGGCCATTATAATTCCACTATGAACATTTGTGTACAAGTTTTTGGTTGGACACACATTTTCATTTTTGTTGGGTATATATCTAGGAGTGGAATTATATATCTGGGTCTTATGGCAACTCTATGTTTAACATTTTGAGGAACTGGGATGTATAGGGTTTTGTGCCTATGTTATGAAACTAATTATGAAGCATCTTATATTCATTATCATTAGATCTGTCTCCTCTATTAGGTTTTAAGTTTCTTGAGACAGGGATTATCCTTCTTCATCTTTGTATCCACCACAGTCCAGCACTCACCAAAGCACGAAGTAGGTTCTTAGGAAACTGTTGAGAATAAAACTGACCAGTGCAGCATCCTCCTGCCCTTAAAGTCACCAGCACACCTGGGAACACAGGCTTTCTCTTTCTCTCTTCCCTATAGCAAGTGACAGCTTATCAGGAATGGAGGCAGCTCGGTATTATCCATCAAGCCTTCCAACTGGGTGCACACCCTCCTTATCTGCTGTGGGGCCTTCACCAGCATCCTGGGATTTCCTCAGGCTGCCTCATCCTCACAGCAGCAGTGATGTGACCCACTCTGGTTTATGCAGATACATTGAGAGAGATTATTTTAAGTACCACTGAAACCCAAGCACAGGCAGGGCTGGTGGAAACCCCAGTATTTGGGGGCACACTCCCTGTTTGACATGGTTCAGTAATGACTCATACATCTACTTTAAGGGGGATTTGGACACGGAGGCACTAAGATACCTATCCAGGCTTTGACTTGGGAGCATTGTGCAGGAGGTTTAAGAAAGATTATTTTAAGACTATCTCAGAAGGCTGGAGCAGCATCTTTCTGATTTATTCTGCTACCTTTCTCTCGGAGCCTGTGATTTCTAACATGTATTTCAGGTTGGATTTAAGAGACAGAGCTGGCCCCTACCGAACTGGCCACCTTTGAAGTTACAGTACTGAGGAGGGGAGGGACAGATGGAACAAAAGTCGTAATTGCCCAAATTTACAATAGGTTCCCAGCAGCAGCCGGCACAAAAGAAATGTTAATGCAATAAACTGTAAATGGAAGGAAGCGAAGCAGGATTTATGGCTGGCGCAAACCTCCATCAAGGCACTAGAACCTCTTTCCTTCATCTATGAGGCATTTCAGTGGTCACAGTAGAATTGGGCTCGTTTGAAAATCAGTGGCTGCTCTGCGTCCTCCCTCCCTTGTGTGTCCTGCACCCCCTACACAAACCAATTCCTGTAAAAACCTGGGGAATCTGATAGAACAATTGGAGAAAAACGTCAGTCATTGAGGGTCGAGCCTGCAAACCTGGCAGAGCCCAGAGCGCGCACAGATTCGCTGTGCACATGTGTGTGCTACAGCTGCAACCAAAGCACACATTTTCCTTCCCCAAGTCTGTGTTGGGGACCTCCGCAGACACAGCAGATGGCCAGAGTGTTTCCATGTTTCAGCCTCGAAGTGAGAGGGCAGCATGTCATTCACCAGTCGGGCACTTACCCATCCATCAGGGCCACCGCTATAAATGGCTGTTTTTCACATTTGGTTCCAGCAGGTTCCATCTCCATTCCGGCTCACACATACCTTTACCTGTGTTGTAACATGTGGGGTGCTCCTTGTCTCCTTGTCCAGACTGCTGGCCCGCTTGATTCGTTAATTAGCCAAGGAGCACGTCTAAATGGAAAATTACTTTCTGAGAGCTGTGTGTCCTGGCTCCATGCTGTGAGGGGCTCCCTGTAATTAAACACGTTTTAAGAGTTGCTCTCTTGCGCATGTGCCCTGGACATCAGTGCTTTCCCCACTGGCTGGGTAGTTCTGTTTCAGACCTTAGACCTAAATAATAATAACAGTTACAAGGAAACTTGCATATCAGTTGATTAAGTGGGAGAATTTTTTTCCTTTTGGAAGTTGGGGGAAATAACTCCTCAGTGGGGAAGTGATTTTTCTGCCCTGTAGGGGTAGGAAAGTGGTTAACCATCGTGGGGGCCTCAACAGACCTCAGCATGTTCGCGAAGTCCTTGGCCTCAGGTTCCTCATCCATCCCACCGCAAGAGCGGTATGGCTTGGGTAGGCCACGAATCCCCTCATTGGGCTCCATTCCAGAATTCTAACTTTAAAAATAAAATGTCCATATTTAAAAGTTCCTGCTACCGTTTCAAAGAAGCTTCCCAAGAAGCTCTTCAGAGCTGGGTCCTGGAGGAACCTGTCACTGGGTCCCTTTCTGCTGGGGGATCGGTTCCTTTTATAAGTAGGAAAATATTTCTCCATACCCCTTACAAAGTTCATGGCTGACACCCCTATAACAAAAGACAGGTTAGCAAGAGCAAAGCACACAAATGTATTTCATACAAGTTTTATGTGACACAGGAGCCTTCTGAAATGAAGCCTCAAAGACCCAGGGAAAACCGTGTTTTTATGAACAGTCATGCAGAAATATGATGAGAGACCAAAAGGGTTTGAATCTAATGTAATAAATAAACTTAGCAAGGCCTGTTTGTTCAGATTCTTCTTGGTGTTCCTGTGTGACTTTTTTTTTTTTTTTTTGAGACAGAGTCTCCCTCTGTCACTCAGGCTGGAGTGCAGTGGTGTGATCTAGGCTCACTGCAATCTCCGCCTCCCGAGTTCAAGAGATTCTCTTGCCTCAGCGTCCCAAGTAGCTGAGATTACAAGCACATGCCACCACGCCTGGCTAATTTTTGTATTTTCAGTAGAGAGGGGGTTTCACCATGTTGGCCCGGCTGGTCTCGAACTCTTGACCTCAGATGATCCCCCGCCTTGGCCTCCCAAAGTGCTGGGATTACAGGAATGAGCTACCGTCCCCGGCGTGACGTTTCTTTTCTCTGGGTACGGGGCAGGACACCTGTTACAGGAGGGTCTTCAGGAGAGGAGGGAGAAGGTCCGAGGGTGACCTTCCTGCTTCTGCAGTTTTCTGGATTTCTTTCAGTTTATAGTACTCAGTAGGACAAGGTGTGTATTTGGGGATATCGTGTTCTGAGCCCCAACAGTAACAAAGAACAAAGAAAGCCTTTACACAGTTTTTGCTGAGACTCTCACATTGGAATTTATAGTGATGGACCTTCAGTCGGAGTGGCCACTAAAGAAAGTTTGACTTTCCATGTAGAATAGCAGGTTCTCCTTTGGCAAGTCTTTTCCAGACAAGGTTCTATAATTTTTTGCTAATAAATGTGTGGACAAAGTTATGGGATGTGTAGAAGTCTGACTCCAAAACCATGTCAGAGTTGTTTTTTTTTTTTTTTTTTTTTTTTTCCAACCAAGAAAAAAAGGCTGCCTAGGCTGGAGTGCAGTGGCACGATCATGGCTCACCACAGCCTCAACCTTCCAGGCCCAAGAGATCCTCCCACCTCAGCCTCCTGAATAGCTGGGACCATAGGCATGTGCCACCACACCCAGCTAATTTTTAGGTTTTTTTTGTAAAGACACGGTCTCCCTGTGTTACCTAGGCTGGTCTCAAACTCCTGGGCTCCAGCAATCCTTCCAAAGTGCAGGGGTTATAGACATGAGCCACTGCACATGGTCCTGAAACAAAGATTGTTAGTAAAAGTTATTGAAATTTAAATCTACGATTCAAGTCTCAACACATAAGACACATGGCACATAGTAAAAAGTTGATTTGATTACATCCTAGGAGGCCTAGACTTGGGAAAGAAGGGGAAAAAAGTATGAGGCTGGGCATGGTAGCTTGTTCCTATAATCTCAGCACTTTGGGAGGCTAAGGCAGGCGGATTGCTTGAGGCCAGGAGTTAAAGACCAGCCTGGGCAACATAGCAAGACCCCATCTCTACCAAAACAAAACAACAGCAACAACAAAAAAACCCACACAAATTAAATTTAAAACGCAAAAGATGAAAGATGAGAAGAAGGAAGTATCTGTAGACAGCTTAAGTCTCTATTTTTTTCTACAAATGTACAGTTGTATATTGTAACATACTGCCTCTTTTGACCCTGTCTTCTCTGTTTCAACAGAGCTCATCTTTTTCTATGTATTTCTGCTGCTACTACTTTTCCAAACCACAGCCGTTGTCCTGTAATGCCCTTATGCATTTGGCCAAGCCCTCTTAGCTTCTGTATTATTTTGGGGTCTTAGTTGATGTTTGGGGTGTGTGACATTACAAAACACATGGGATGTAGATTTGGATTGGGAGAGCCCCTGAATTGCAACACTCTGCTTTCCTCATCTGTAAAATGGGTATAATCTTGGAAGGGTAATTGTAAAGTGGTTTGCAGAAAGTGGGGTAACTGTTATTTGCAACAATCCTCCTGTAGTTTTATCTGCAAATGTCACTAGCTTTTGATTTACTCACTCTCACTTGTGTCTTCTTTTGTTCTGATACTGGCTCTGCTTTATCCCACAGGCTTTTATTTTTTTATTTTACTTTTTTTGAGACAGGGTCTCTCTCTTTCTGTCACCCAGGCTGGAGTGCAGTGGCGTGATCTTGGCTCACTGTAACCTCTGCCTCCCAGGTTCAAGCGATTCTCCCCACTCGGCCTACTGAGTAGCTGGCCAGGCTGAGTGATCCTCCCGCCTCAGCTTCCAAAGTGCTGGGATTACAGGCATGAGCCCCCGTGGCCAGCCTTTTTTTTTTTGGAGGCAGGGTCTCACTCTTGTGCAGTGGCTTGATCTTGGTGCACTGCAACCTCTGCCTGCTGGGTTCAAGCAGATCTTGTGTCCCAGCCTCTCAAGTAGCTGGGAGTACAGGCCCCCGCCACCATACCCAGCTAATTTTTGTATTTTTTGGTAGAGATGGGGTTTCACCATGTTGGCCAGGCTGGTCTCAAGCTCCTGACCTCAAGTGATCCACCTGCCTCAGCCTCCCAAAGTACTGGGATGACAGGCATGAGCCACCCCACCTGGCCTGTCCATAGGCTTTTAAAGCACCAGGGCAGCAGGGCACTGGGTCAACAGGTATATCTGGGAATGTACATTTGGTTTCATGTGTAATAGGAAAGAGATTAATTAGGGTCGTTAATGTGGCCTAATACTAAATCTCAGGAAGCCTCACAGGACACATGAAACAAATCTTTACAACACATATATGTTTTCATGCTTCTGAACGTTTTGAAGACGTTTTGCCATGCTGGGATTTTTGTTTGTTTGTTTGTTTGTTTGTTTTGTTTTTGCTTTTGTTTGAGATGCTGTCTTATTCTGTCTCTCAGGCTCGAGTGCAGAGTGCAGTGGCGCGACCTTGACTCACTGCAACCTCCGCCTCCCAGGTTCAAGCAGTTCTCCTACCTCAGCCTCCCGAGTAGTGCCCGGCTCCTGTTTTTTTTTTTTTTAATTGTTAAATCAGAAGGGCTCAGTATTGCTGTGCCTTGATGGAGTTTCTAGTTGAGGGATCAGTGTCATTTCTGGGTCCCCATCAGAATTACGTTCAAGCTATAAGGAGTTATGCAAAGTCATAGGTTAAATGATTTGGGAATAAAATGTCATTTGATGTGACAGAAATGAACCCTTAGAGGCCCACATTTCCACTGGGACTTGCTCTCACTTCCAGTTCTCGTGTTAAGTAATTTTATTAACTGAGGCAAGGAGGGGCATGCGGTGACAAGGGAAATATTTTTTGCTAACATTTTAATCCCAATCACAAAATTTATTGTGTGTGGCTTTATACGCATTTGTAGCTATAAAGCCCTGGAAGACGATGAAAGTAAAAATTAGAATGTGTTGTTTTTCTGCCCAGGTGTTATTTAAAGCATTGTATGAATTGTCAAAAAGATTAATTGTTGTTGCTTGCAGCTAAACAGATGATAAATTTTAAAATTATATTATTACTGTGTGTCAGCATAAAAGCTCTGTGTCCCAAGTGTGTCACCTTTTTCTGTTGCTGTTGACAAGGTTCACATTTTATAGCACACCGCCAGAAGGTGTTGACATATATTCAGATTACTGATTAAATGTTTTTAAAACGTGCCACTCAGAAACTAACCCTGATGTTCTATGAAAGAGTCAGTTTTCGGAGTAAGATTTTTTTTTTCCTTCATCATTAACATGGAGGAAATGTTAAACACTGACATTTTAAAAAATGAACCTGGGACTGGCGTGGTGGCTCATGCCTGTAATCCCAGCACCTTGGGAGGCTGAGGTGGATGGATCACCTGAGGGCAGGAGTTCGAGACCAGCTTGACCAACATGGAGAAACCCTGTCTCTACAAAAAAATACAAAATTAGCTGGGTGTGGTGGCACCTGTAATCCCAGCTACTCCGGAGGCTGAGGTAGGAGAATCACTTGAACCTGGGAGGTGGAGGTTGTGGTAAGCTGAGATCGTGCCATTGCACTCCAGCCTGGGCAACAAGAGCAAAACTCCAGTCTCTAGATACATACATACATACATACATACATACATACATACATACATACCTACCTGGCCAGGCATGGTGACTTATGCCTGTAATCCCAGCACTTTGGGAGGCCGAGGCCAAGGCAGGCAGATCACAAGGTCAGGAGTTCGAAACCAGTCTGGCCAATATGGCGAAACCCTGCCTTTATGAAAAATACAAAAAATTAGGCAGGTGTGGTGGCACATGCCTGTAATCCCAGCTACTCAGAAGGCTGAGGCAGGAAAATTGCTTGAACCTGGGAGGCGGGGGTTGCAGTGAGCCAAGATCATGCCACCGTACTACAACCTAGGTGACAGACCGAGACTCCGTCTCAAAAAAATAATAAAAAATAAATAAACCTAATGTTATTGCACTTTCCCATTTCAAATTGCAGCCAGCAAAGAAAACAGGCATTAGAATTCCCATTTCTTCTCTTCTCCTTCCTGGGAAGGGCAGCAACAAACATACCCAGGGTGGAAAAACAGCACCAAGGCTGGGTGCGGTGGCTCACGCCTATAATCCCAGCTCTTTGGGAGGCCAAGGCGTGCGGATCACCTGAGGTCGGGAGTTCGAGACTAGCCTGACCAACATGGAGAAACCCCGTCTCTACTTAAAATTAGCTAGGCATGGTGGAGCGCACTTTTAATCCCATCTACTTGGGAGGCTGAGGCAGGAGAATCACTTGAACCTGGAGGCGGAGGTTGTGGTGAGCCGAGATTGCGCCATTGCACTCTAACCTGGGCAGCAAGAGCAAAACTCCATCTCAAAAAGAAAAAAAAAAAACAGCACCAAGGAAGGCGCTAAATGGCTACTTGTAAACACTCCAGGTTGGACACTGGACCCATGACGAGGAGGCGAGGCCCGTCCTGTGGTGGTGTTTGCAATGGGAAGTCTGGGGCTTTGACTCCCTCAAGTTTCCAGGCTAACACACACAACTCTTCCCAGCAGCTGAGGGGCCCTCAAGCCTTGATGTCCCTTTCACAACGTAACGTTGAAGGACCCCACTGGTCTTGGCTCTTAGCGTTTTGTGGATGGAC